CAGATCCAGCCAGAGGAGCACTACCAAGTGAAAGCCTTTCAGGAGGAGAGAGTGTGGGAGTCAGCCTCAGGAAGGGACGGGCCAGAGACCTCACCCATGCTTAGAGTGATAGCGGAGCACTGATGGGGGTCTACGAGTAGTTTGGATGTTTTTGCTTTTCCCTGCAACATACAGTCCGACGTCCATGAGTGAAACACGCACCTGTTGAGCCTTGCTGTCTTTATATATCCTGCAGCAAGAATGAATGGTAGCATAGGGCATTCCATAATGCATTGCCATGCTGTCACTCATATTGGAATCCACATCTCTCTCTAGAGCAATGCTGCTGTATATTTTGTTTCTACAGGAAACAAGGAGCAGGTGGTGTTTTTCTTTCTTTCTCAAACTGGTTCTAGCCAGTTGGCAGTGTGTCCCACGGTCCCTGTTGCTGTTAACCCCTCTGCAGGCTGCTGCTGCCTCCTCCACCACGATTGAGTTTTTAGCCTACCACGGAGGAGCCTTTCTACCAATATAAAAGTGAACCATTAAGCCTAACCAGTGCAACGACTAGGACATGATCCCTCACTGGCTTCCCACCCGTGAACATTACCAGTCTCCACTTTCCTTGCGTGGAGCCACCGCTGCCGTAAACTGAACCTGCTTCTCTGCAGTTGGCGCAAGTCGCCTCCCCGCTACTCGAATGCCCCGCAGCAGGTGGTCCGAGCTCGCTGATATATGGGCCGCTGTGATTCTTGGAAATAATAGACCTACTAAGTTGGGGGGGGGGGGGGTGAAAGAGGAGAAGCAGTACAGTACCAACATTCATATGACTGGATGGCTTCAGTGAGCACACAACTTTAAATGCCTAGTATTCACACTGGTTGAATTATGACAAGATAAACATGAATCAAAGGACTATTAATCCAAAAAAGCAAGTGGATGTTTGACTCCAAGAAAAAAATATTTATATTAGGAGTAGGCGATGAGGATGAAAATATCTAATCATGATATATGTCATTTTATTTCAGAATATTGATTCATAGCATAATGTAGAGCATTTTCTGGAAACTCAATTGAGAAACATGAACATCTGTTTTCGTCTAATGCAGGGCATTAAACACCAGACAGATCAAAGTACTGCTGCCCACGAAGGACTAATATAACCAGATGCATTCATTCATTTCCCAGACTGGATTGTGTACTGCTGACTTCTTATAAATATATAACAAACAATGTATTTCTCCCAGACGGCCAGCTATAATGTAGGAAATTGACACAAATTAAAACTCATATAGATTGGTTTCTTTATGCGGATGAAGACTAACATTATAATAATTCATGCTCATTATTTTTGCTGACTACCATATGCTATTGTTTGTTTGTTGGTGCCCTGTGTTAGGTCTGAGCGATATGAATCACAGTGTGGAAGTGACTGGGATCATTCTTTTATGAGAAAGGAAACATCAGGCTTGACTTATTAAAACACAATGTAACAAATAAATACATAGATAGTACTGGACTATGATCAAAACAGCCTGTCGGTGTTCAGCAGGAACAGTCCGGCACCGCTCCGCCTTTGTTACCCTTTTCTCCCTGTGGTCTACATACAGGCGAGCAATGGCCTAGTTAACTTTAAAAATAATCCACTAAACCAGGCCAATGCTTCCTGGTTCACATTCCCTTTGTTCATTTGCGTAATTGAAACAGACCCCAGATCCTGATAAGAAGCCTCCGCCAGAATAATTCCTCAGACTGGAGCCACAAAGACTTTATTCCTTTTAATCTCAAATTGCCTCTTTCCTAAGCATTAGCTACTGAGGAAAGGGCGTGCATTGATCTGGCGCCACACTGTGATAAAAGGCGATAATGCATTTAAGGTTAGGTACAGTATTGGTCAGAAGAGCATTTAACTATGCAGATGTTTAAAAATAAGTGTGCTCAGTCTTTAATCGATCTCAGACGACCCGAATGGGTAGTTTCTTCACCAAATGGGTCACTGATCTCTGCATTTTGTGAATGTGTTTTCCTCTTTGCCAGGTATGCTGCAGAATGGGAAGAAGTTTGACTCCTCCCGAGACCGGAACAAGCCATTTAAGTTCAAGATTGGACGGAGTGAGGTCATTAAGGGCTGGGAGGAAGGAGTAGCACAGGTAAGAGAGAAACTTCATTACATCACTATGTTACATTCAACCCTTTTGATTAAAGCTAGAAGTCCATGTTTTCAGTTATATTTGGGATTTAAAGGGGTATTTGGTATGAAAAAAGGTCATACCAACCAGCTAATGTTCCCTGAGGAACTCTGAACACCAAATGAAAAAAAGAAAACTGCTTTAAATTGTATTTCCATGTAGAAAACAAAATAAAGACGGTGATGGCTACGATGCATTTCTTATCTCAAGCTAATTAGATTTCGCTCTGTGTTGAATTTCATACACCAGTGGTGTTTGGGGCTTTAAAGCAGCATAAAAAGAGAACATCAGCAGTATTCTCAGTCATGTTTGCCTTTTCTCCTACGCTTCAGATGAGCATGGGCCAGAGGGCAAAAATCACCTGCACACCAGACATGGCTTATGGAGCGACAGGCCACCCCGGGGTCATCCCCCCGAACGCCACACTTATATTCGATGTGGAGCTGCTCAAGCTGGAGTGATGCCTGAGTTTAAATACAAAGGTTGAAGCTTGCTGAGGTCTGCGTTCCACAGGGGAGACCATACCCACCATCCACTTACTCTGTTGATTTCTACAGTCTACTTTAGTTCAATTTTTAAATGCATCTACTGCTGCTTTGTTGCCATCTTGTCATAATAGATCCTGCATGGAAACATTTCACATCATACAAGACTTTTTTTCACACACTCACACCATCACCGTTTGGTTTCTGTTTGTTAGTCAGAGATGCTATTTTGTTTTGATTTCATTTAAAGTTGTACATTTTGTGGAACCATGAGGAAATCCGTCATCTGATGAAAAGCCGTACTACATTGCAATCAAAAACATATACTGCCTTACAGTTTAAACAACAGATGAAGGGTACATTATGTTAAAAGTACACAACTACTGCTCTGTATCTCACCTGGGCATTATATACCACTGTCTGCATTGCCACTTTGATAAAGGTTTGACCTGCTGAATGCTCTGAATGACGTTGCTATGTGTAGTATATATTTTATATCCCTCATATAAACATGTACTGCAAGTGTACCCTGTCCAATATAACCCAATCCAATACTTTACAGAACTCTATGAGAGCCATTGCTACTATTACAGTTGATTGACCAAGTCTTGAATAAAAATGGCTTGTATTGTGTTGAGATGTCTGTGTCCTGTGTGTGATTTTGAGAGGGGAGTGAATAGGGATAATGGAAAGAACCAAAATAGCATGTTAGACACGTGCTTCTGCAGCAACATCGCCTCCTAATGGCACATTTTATGGAGAAGAAAAAGCACACCAGCGCAGTCTCCATTCATTGCACTAATAATGAAGTATAAACTGTGACTAGTATCCTAAAAAGTAAATGGGAGGAACACAGTTAACTAAAATAATGAAACTTTAAATAAAACATTATTGAACGCGCTTATAATAGGCGGCATTGTTTATCTCTACGAAATTCAACAATCTTGTTTTGACTATTTACTTCCGGTGTCCGAGGTCACAGTTCACTGCCTGACGCTAGCAGGCTATTGGCTAACAGGTGATGTTATGAGACTTCATTGGACAGACGAACACACGCCTTCTCGTCACTTTGAAAAAGCATAACAGACGGCAAGGTCAGGAAATGATATTAATATATGTGAAACAATAAGTGTTATAAAATGTAGTTAACGTTAGTTGCCTGCAACAAAGTGTCTCATGTTAGCGATTATGTGGTTCCTTAAAACGAATGCTAATAGTGCAAGCTAACATCCACGGTTAGCTAGAGCAACTAACTGCTATATAACTTGACTTTATGTCAACATTAACTTGCACGTTTGCCTTTTTTACTATTCATTGAAAATGTTGGCACAGTCTTCCACAGGGATTTAATCATTATATGCCCTTTGGCTTTTCTAAAAGGTGATATCTGGGTGGTGCAGCTGGTCGACAATGCTAAGCTAGCTAGCCTCGTTGCAAAGGTTGTCAAATGTTGCAACAATGTCATCTCTTTAAGTGTCTGCATCACATCCAAGCTGCTGGTTAAGTAACGGTTAAACATGCCCACACCTGTACGAGTTATTCTCAATATGGCTGACTGACTGGGAAGTAACCTACTGAGAAGTTACGTGTCAGGTTTGCATAATAGGTTTTATCGTCTGTAAAGGACACGTGTGTGTCAGACTGTGCTATGTTAACGGTTGAGCTTATGTTAATTATCTAACGAGACAAAGTTAACTTTACAGGAAACCAACACTAAGATGTCCCACTGTAAGTGAGATACGCTGCTTGGTGGATGAGATGCTGCAAAAACAATAGAATTAAAAAATATAAACATATATGAACAATATAATAATCATTAAGTGTTAAAGAAATAATACTGACACCATTGCAAAATAAAACACAATAGCAATAAGAGTAAGGTAAACAAAGTGATACTAACACCAGTGCTTAATGGAAACTAAAATAGAAAAGCAATATTGAGAGGGATATTGAAAACGTAGTAGAAAGTTATATTGCACATAGATTAATGAAAATAATATTGCACATGAAATTGAAATGTTTTATTATTACTATTATTGTTGTAAGTATCTGAGAAGTTCTATAGTTTGATGGCCACAGGTAGAAGATACTTCCTGTGGCGTTCAGTGGTGCACCTCTGTGGTCTCAGTCCACGGCTGAAGGGGCTCTGAAGTGACTTCAGTGTGATGTGCAGGGGATGAGAGGCATTGTCCAGAATACTGAGTAGTTTCCTCTCTGACACCTCCACCACAGTTCGACTCCTACCTCAGAACCAGCTGACAACATGCAACCATCACAATAATTTCCCCCACTTCCTGTCCGTTTGTCATCGTCTGCCTCAGGTGATCCATGTGCGTCTGATTGAGTCAACATTGAAGCATGCTGACTGCACAGAGGGCATGTGCAGCGATGGCTGCCCGGCGCCTGGTGAGAGCCTCCGTCTCCTCAGCGCACACACACCGTGCTCTGATCCACACTTCCACACCGTGTCAGGACCAGGACGAGCTGCATCCTGAATGGGCCAGTCTGGCTAAGAAACAGCTGAAGGGGAAGAACCCAGAAGATCTGATCTGGCGCACGCCTGAGGGACTCAACATTAAGCCTGTGTACACCAAGGCAGACTCAGTTGACCGGCCAGATGAATTGCCGGGAGTATTTCCATACACTAGGGGGCCCTATCCTACCATGTACACCAACAGACCGTGGACTATCAGGCAGTATGCTGGCTTTAGCACTGTGGAGGAGAGCAACAAGTTCTATAAAGATAACATCAAAGGTAGATCTTGTTGTTGTGTACGTTTACATTTGTAGCTGAAACACTGTAGATTCAAACTTAATTATACAAGAGGTTACACTTTGAATGACACAGAATATTTATAAAACAAGTTTAAAGAAGACTAAAATGACTTAAGCATGACTTAAGCATTGTAAAGTCATATATATGTCATGTCTCCTTTCGTTTCAGCCGGACAGCAGGGTCTCTCCGTGGCGTTTGACCTCCCAACACACCGTGGCTATGACTCGGACAACCCCCGAGTCCACGGTGATGTCGGCATGGCCGGAGTCGCTATAGACACAGTCGAAGACATGAAGATGTTGTTTGATGAAATCCCACTGGAGAAGATGTCCGTTTCGATGACAATGAACGGAGCGGTTATCCCTGTGCTGGCGATGTTTATAGTGACCGGAGAGGAGCAGGGCGTGTCTAAAGCCAAACTCACTGGCACCATTCAAAATGATATTTTGAAGGAGTTTATGGTACGCAACACCTATATCTTCCCCCCGGAGCCTTCCATGCACGCCATCGCAGACATCTTCGCTTACACCACTAAGGTAATCTGCTTGTGCGGTGCTTACATTATGCCGTGTTGTTCATGTAATACTCATCGTATTGGGAGTTCAGCTGATTTCAATGACTCTCCATGTTACCAGCACATGCCCAAGTTCAACTCCATATCCATCAGTGGCTACCATCTTCAGGAGGCTGGAGCTGATGCCATCCTGGAAGTAGCCTACACCATCGCTAACGGCCTGGAGTACTGCCGCACTGGTCTGACAGCAGGCTTAACCATCGACGAGTTTGCCCCAAGGTACAACATATTCATATCTTGTTATGTGTGGAGAGGAACAGTGTTGATTTTCATATTTCTGTCTCACTGCTATGGCCAGATAATGCACTTTTATATATTGTTTCATTATAGATTTTCCCAATAAATGCATCACAAAGACCTGCAATATTACTGCCAATGTTCATTCAGGAAGAGCTGTAATCAAGCATTAAGTTAACGCAACAAACAAAATGCTACAAAGCGAGCAAAAGACTCTCCAGGGACACAAGCTGTCAGCCATGACACTTTTATCTCAGGTGTGACATGGCTCTTAGCACCACCAGCAGTAAATGGTGTTACTGGTTTAATTACTGGTTTGATGTGACAACATTCACTTTACACTAAATTTTTGAACAGGAGCTTGTGCTGTCAGTCAATAACTACCCAGTTCAGTATTCCACTCACAAGTTCAGCCATGCATGACGTCGGCCTTTTATTAATATTCCACTGACGCTGTGCATGTTTGACTCGTGCATATTAACCTGGTGTGCATTTAACTGCATTAAATATCTCCTTCCTCTTTGTTTGTCACAACACCAGATGGTCCTCACACACTGAATCAGCGTTCAATTAAAGACAGATGGAAATGCTGCTGGTCCAATCCAACCATTCAAATAGTGGTTTATAGAAATATTTCCAATTGAACACATGATATATATTTGAAAGACAGAAGAAAATAGGATAAAATTGGCTAAAGGTGCTAAATATTGGGTGTGTTTACTGACATTTTTTCTGTCAATTGCTCCTTCAGTATTCCTACTGTTACCCATAATCTCTGTGGCTCAGCCTGCCTGTTGCGTGCCGTAGCGTGACCTTTTTGCTGCCTACTTGGTAACTGGTCTATAATTTGGAGCTACTGTAGACAGTAGATGGTCTTTTCAGTCAATTACACAACTGTGCCACTTCACCAACCCCGCCCTCCGTCCAATTCTTGTTCCCTTTCTTGTACTTCCATTATCTGCTCTTCATGTGTCCGTTGCTCAGATAATAGCAGAGGTGATTGTGCATGCGGTCCTTTAGGAACATCGTTGAAGGCCCAGTTTAGCTCTACCTTTCTCCACCAAGTGACTTCTCACAGGCAGCCACCTTCAATCAATATGAAGCCGTCACTCTATTGTGTATCCAACCCTGAGCTAATATCTCGTGTGGGTCGGACTCGCGGCCCACGCTTACCCTTGGCTTCACACAAAGACTGAAACTTAATCACTCTATTCTGACAGACGTTGTACTTCCAGACGCTCTGTCTTTAGGGAAGGCTTTCAGGGCTTTCAGGGCTTTCTCTTCACACAGCTGACTGATGCCCGTTTTCCTTTGAAACATTAACACTCAATTCATAATGACTGGTAGTCTCTTCTTCATCAATGCATAGCATATAGATAACATTTTTGATAATGATAGCTCATTTTTTGATATGTATATATAATTGTGACCACAATAGGATGTTTTGCAGTTCATAGAGACTCTCAAGGTTACATTTTACATATTTTGGCATTTCTGCCAGTCAGCCGTTCGGTTTCTTATTACTGAACAGCAATACAACATACCAACATATGGGCCGTGAGCCAGCCAGCGGGGCACGTTCGTATACACGAGCGTGCTCTAAAGAGCAGGCCTGGCTGTGTAGACAAAGCAGGGAGAAGCTTGGCTAACACCCAGAGGGAGAGCTGCTTACCTCTCTGCTCAGGGAGACATTACTCCTCTGCATCTTCACGCAGCGAACAGTTGTTTGTTGCTATATTAATGCTCTGAATTGCTTTCAATCTGCCTTCCTACAATCTATTTATAGTAAAATGCACCACTGGGGGAAGATGTGACTGTATCTGGTGGTTGGGATACTGGTATTGTCAGGAAGTTTGATGAGAAGTGTTTTTCTAGATCTCATTTAATTGTGGTTTGCCTATATACAAATGATAAAATTGTTATTTTTCATGCCAGGTTGTCATTCTTCTGGGGTATTGGGATGAATTTCTACATGGAGATTGCCAAGCTGAGGGCAGGCAGGAGGCTGTGGGCCACGCTCATTAAAGACAACTTCCAACCTCAAAATGCCAAGTCTCTGCTCCTCCGCACACACTGCCAGACTTCAGGCTGGTCTCTCACCGAACAAGTAAATACAAGTTGGAGATGAAAGTCCTTTAAAGTGAATAGAGATCAAGCTCACAAACAAACTGAGCCAATAGTAATCAGAACTTTCTCCGGTGAACCCTCCTCTCAGGATCCGTACAACAACGTGGTCCGTACAGTGATTGAGGCCATGGCAGCTGTGTTCGGGGGCACCCAGTCGCTTCACACCAACTCGTTCGACGAAGCTCTGGGTTTGCCCACGGTGAAGAGCGCCCGCATCGCCAGGAACACCCAGATCATCATCCAGGAAGAGTCGGGCATCCCCAATGTGGCCGATCCCTGGGGGGGATCGCACATGATGGAAGCGCTTACGGACGACGTCTATAACAAAGCTTTAAAGGTTTGTCAGTGAAACCATGTTGTCTTGTGAGGTGAATGTCGGTATACACGTCTACAGAAGTAATCCATCGCGTCATCGAGTCCCTCTTTTACATGCTGTGTTTTCCTTCTTACAGTTCATCAAAGAAATTGAAGAGGTGGGAGGCATGGCCAGAGCCGTGGCAGAGGGCATCCCCAAACTTCGTATTGAGGAATGTGCTGCTCGCAGACAGGCCCGCATTGACTCCGGTACGACTGTATGAATGTATCATAAGCTTATTGGCTTAACGCCCCTCATTCTTTCATCTTTTCATCCTCTGCCTCCAGTACTTCGTGCTTCACTTATCAGAGCTACAGCGGAATGTCAAATGGAAGTTTTATTCAAGTGTGCAGCTCCTTCATCCTGTCCGAAATCTGCCCATTTATTTCCAAATTTGGCATGAAATATTTAAATCATCTTAACCTTTTTTTAGGTTATAGGTTTTGATTCTTGGTCTTGTTTGTCCTGACAAATCATCTGGTGCCATGAGATGTGTATGCATCTGACGAGGTTTGTCATCAGGCAGACTAACTGAGCTGTCTTTGTGTTTCTGTGGGATTGTACTTGCGTCACATGATGCCAGAAGTGTCTGCGATGGAGCACAGATGAACTTTCACAGATTGTGTATCTCTCCCCCATCACCCCCTGAGGCCTGCACTCATTGACGTTCAACTGTGATTCATTGTGTCGCCCAACAAGCAGGTCTTTGCTGCGGTTGACGTTGGTTTCCAGCTCTGATTTGACACGTTACGCTCTCCGATCATTTTTAGTTCTCCTACATTGTGGTCAGATCATGAGATGTCACATTTTGGGATCTTTTGATGAATTAAATGCTTCTGTTTTTTTTTAAGTCTTTTGAACATTTAAATGTTCATAGCAATTATTGTCAACAAACTATTTTGTAAGCTCGCCATGAAATACACGGCATCTGCATTTTGGTCCGTAAGATGGTGAAGGAGGGTATTATCACATTATCATTTTCAGAAGGGATAATGTCAAGAATTCAATTATTTAAAGATAGATTCCCAGAATTGAAGTTATCTCCACTGAATAGTAGTTAAGCAATAGCTCGTGACAAGCCGTGGTAAACAATAGTTATGTATAAATAGTTATTATATCACAGCTGAGAGCCATTGTTCAGCCTGACGTGAAGGTGAAGTGTGTAAACCGGGTTTCTGATAGATGTATGTAGGAAATAATACAGTTAAAGGAGAAGAGATTAACTGAGAAACGGTGAGATGGGATGTTACACGTCATACATTGCTCCTTTATGCTTGATGTCTTGATGCTTCAGGTCAGAACTGGCCTGTAATCTTCTCACGTGGGTTTTTTTTCTTTGTCTTCAGGGTCAGAGGTCATTGTCGGGGTGAACAAGTACCGTCTGGAAAAAGAGGAGACTGTGGAGGTGCTGTCTATAGATAACACCTTTGTGCGTCAGAAACAGATTGAAAAGCTGAAAAAGGTGAGTGTTCCTCTGAGAATCAAAGAGAGGTATCTAAAGAGTAGCGCTGCTGTTTACCATACCGCATGCAAAGAAAGCACTTTCTACTCACTGGAGACGTTCATGTAATGTGTTGTGAGGACTTGAGCCCCGCTATATATTACACACATATCATCCATTAGTTATTTGCTTTGTTTGTTTTGGTATTGTCGCCCTTGTTAACGTTGTTAGCAGTACAGACTGGAGATAGTGAAGGGGGGTCATGTGCATCACAGCTCAGCCAGAGAACTTGGAGAGTTGCAATTACATGCTGCAGTACAGAAAGCACCCGTTCTTAAAACAAAAGCAACATCTTCTGTCCAGAACAATCTAATATGAATCATATGTATATTTTATATATACACATGCATACATTATAGAATTCATATACACTGATCTAATCAACACAAATCTATTATCAATGTGAAGGATGTGAGGTTAATGTTATGACATAAGCTCTGCAGTTCCTTCATGTTCTTTGATGGGCAATAACTGAGGTGTACTTATGAACTCAGTGTTTGAGGAGTTTGTGGGGGCAGAACAAACGCACACTAGTTCTCATCGGCTGCATCTGTGTCAGACATCTGTAGGTTTATGTCCAGCTGACTGTGCGGGGTGTCGGTTAAAGCCTCTGGGTTCAGTGATCAGGGCTTACAGGGGACTGGGTTATACAGGAGACAGTTGTAAGACTCTTACTTATTATTAATGCCAAAATATTATCATTAACATAGTAATGCATGAGACTACAGGCAAAAATATTGTTTTTTCGTGTACTTTTGGGCTATTTTGCTTTCATAACAAGTCTTCTTCTAGACTAGCAGAAAGAAAACTTCCAAAATACACATTTATTACACTGTCTTTTTCTGCAGATTTCTCCTAAATACACCAAAAGTTAGGTAATCCTTAATTTGCATAACTTTTCAGAAAACTTGTACAAAAGGAGAGAGCAAAATGGACAAAGTCTGACATGTTGGACTTGTCTAACACAGGTGCAACTAATATCCTTAATTACTGATGGCCGCATTCCATTCAGCTGTGTCAGTCCCAGGGTTCTGTTATCGTGCATGCTCTCTCACTGCACAGCTCACTGGCACATTGAAATTACTGATGTTATATTATACTCAACACCTGCTCTTTTCCTGCGATGATGAGTCAAAAATATCCGCTGTAATAAAATGTATTTTCTGTGTTAAAGAGTACTTAAACACACATATATAGTGGATTCTGTCTGCAGGGCAGATAAAAAACTTCAAATACCATGTTTACGGTATTTTGCCTCCTTCCTCTGCTGTAGGTGAGAGATAGTCGTGACCCAGAGGCAGCGAAGAAGTGGCTGGCAGCCATTGAGGAGTGTGCCCAAACCAGGGAGGGCAACCTTTTGGCCCTGGCTGTGGAGGCATCACGAGCCAGGTACATAGAAGATAATCCTCGTGGGGTTTTTTGTTCATCAACCCCTACATGTCTGCGGTCAATATTTCTTCACACTGAGGCGGTCATGCAGCATGTCACAGTCAAACCCATCTGTGGCAATGCAGCAATTGTAGGTTTTCTTTTCTTTTTGTGAGAAACGTCCTGAAAAATCAGATTTAATTAAAATGACTTTAGAATTAGAAGTCTAAGTTTAGCTAAATTACAAATATTTAGATGTTGTAATTCAAGCTTGATAAATGTTTTTTTTACAGCTGCCAGAATACTCAAAATCAGATTTCTATTTAAAGGAACTATTAATCAATATCAATTATTTAATAGTGACTAGTTAAAAGGTTATTGGGCACATGTGAAATGAAGTATTGATACAACCAACTACTGTATATGAGGCCCACACACAGAAATCTTTCTGCCTTGTGACACCGACGGTAATACTGCACTACTATAAATGATACAGATACATGAATAAACACGGATATTTGCTTTCAGTTTATTGAAACGGGAAGTCTTTTATTTTTGTTTCTCAGATGTTCGGTCGGTGAAATAACCGACGCCATGAAGAAAGTGTTTGGTGAACACAAGGCCAGTACCAGGATGGTGAGCGGCGCTTACCGCAGCGAATTCGGGGAGCATGAAGAGATCGCCCGGTCCCTCAACAGGTAGGAAATAAACCCAATTAGCATCTTTACAATCACTGTGCACAGACTGATTGCTCCACTGGGTGATTTATATATTATCTATTTCTTTTTTAAATCACAGAGTTGCAGAGTTTAAGAAGCAGGAGGGCAGGAACCCTCGACTGCTGGTGGCAAAGATGGGGCAGGATGGCCACGATCGGGGGGCCAAAGTCATCGCCACGGGGTTTGCAGACCTGGGCTTTGATGTGGACATCGGACCACTGTTTCAGGTCAGAGTCACACACTAGAGTGCACTGGAAAGTACAATTACTCAATGAATGGTAAAAAATAGACGGTTAACAGGCAAGTAGACTGTATAGTATGTTGAGTGCTGAAGGTGCCTAATACGAGTAAGAACATTCTTGACCATTCCCACTTATATCTATGTCTGTAAGTAGTTTGATTGCTCGCATTCTCCGTGTTAAAGTATAATTAACACCACCCCAAAAACATGTAACCCCATTTGATGATGTCGTACCGTACGTTTCACTGTAGTCTGACTTGAGAGGGCAAAAAAAATAAAATAACACTCCATAGTGTTGGCAAGCCAAATGCACAAGGAGGCGGGGACATTGAGCCTTCAAATGATTTACAGCACGCGCTGCAGATACAGATACACCGTCGGTTGGGTGATTATAGTTCAAGAGTTCAAACAACCTCTTACGATTTCTTCCAGATAACTAGCTCAGATTCTGAGTGGATCAATGTACTGTCTCTGTCTTTTCTGTGATAGCTCGCAGTAATAGAGCTCACATAAGTAGCTTACTGATGATTGATGTTGTGATTGTTTGTCAGTGGAGCAGTTCATTAATGCAGACGGGTGAACGAAAAACGAGATGAAATGACAAATTTGAAAAGATTGTAGTTCACTTTTTTGCCTGTGTTTTGCAGTGTTGGTGCACCTCACTCAGAAGTTGTGTTTTCTTCTTTGTTTCTCCACGTCGGACTCTCGGGGGAACAGACGCCCCTTGAGGTTGCCCAGCAGGCAGTCGATGCTGACGTGCACTGCGTCGGGGTCAGCACGCTTGCCGCAGGGCACAAGACCCTGGTCCCCGAGCTCCTCAAGGAACTGCGGAAGCTCAACAGGCCCGACATCCTGGTCATCTGTGGAGGAGTCATCCCACCACAGGTAACGGTTGACTTTCATATGGTTATTCTGAATTGTCGAGAATGCAATTCTTTTTTGAGTGGCTGCGTTGAGTGAAGGCTTTCCGATAAGGGCCGTGATTGGGTCGTGAGTCTAGTGGAGCTTATGTCTGAAGCGGGCCGTGGCGTCTTTCAAAGTCAGTAAAAACATTTTCCCAGAACGTGCGAGGTATTTTCTCTCAATAACTAGAGGACCGCCCAGAGGATTTCATCTTTAAATGAGCCTCAGGCTGTGTGAGATGATGGTGTCAGCTTGACTGCAAAAATCCACACCGCTCTGACAAAAAACAGCTATGTAGCATTAAGCTTACAATTATGCACATAAAATGTTATCCTGCCGTCATGTGGACAAAGAGCCAGTCTCTCATGATGATGATCGTTACCACATTAATGGATGTCCTCAATCACATGCAGTGCAGGCTCATTCGTCGTTCCTTCGTCGTTCCTTCCTGTTCTCATCGATCTTACTGTCATCCCTTTCCTTTTGAGGATACCTCTGGTTGAATCTGCTATAGCATAAGAAAAAAAACGTAATCCCATAGGGACTGCGCACGTCCTTCTTTCCTCGACATGTATTTCTCATTAACTGCAGTTCCTATAAACTGTGTTCCCCCTGTGTGTGTATGCAGGACTACGAGTTCCTGTACCAGAGCGGCGTGAGCGCCATCTTCGGCCCAGGAACCAGGATCCCGCAAGCTTCAGTGGACGTGATAGACAGCATTGAGAAGAGCCTGGAGAACATCCGGCAGGCCATGTGAACTCGCTCTACAACTTAAAGAACCGTCTGTTCATGTGGCATCAACGACAAAGCCACAAGTGGGAGCTCACACTTTTGTACAGTTTCGTCTCAAAAGATTGTAAAAAAAACAAAACATGTAACCACCGTTAAAACGCAGAATGTACAGTCATAAAGATTAAAGAGTGGTTGGTGATGTATTAACATTGCATTTTACTAATAGAATCCTCAGATTGCTGATTTCGTGTGAACATCACTAACATGGTGTTTAGTTTTGCTCGTTGACCGTATCACTTTAAATAAACCTACTCAGAACGTAATGCTTTTATTGTGAAATGTGTGTATGTGTGTGTGTGAGAGAGATCTTCAGTTACGTAGCAGGGTGTTCTCAGTGCCAGTGTGTTGAAGATGGATAGGTACTCTCATCAGAACTAACCTCTTACTACCCCTGGGTTTTCTGTTGATGGATATTACTATCGTGTAAGTGGCCTTCTTTTGTCCTCACGCCTCTAGCATCGTGTTTAATTCATCCAACTTCAGCTCAGAGAAAAAGCTCTAGAGCAGTCATCACAATCTATTTGACAATAGTATTTTTGTACATGAGATTCTGAAGCACTCTTTCGTCTAAATAAAGAATGTGAACCTTGGAAATGTGACTGTGTATAAAGATGATGTGCATTACCTTTAGATATTCAATCATTTCTGGAAAAGTGGGTGAATTCAATGTGTTTTTAAAGCCTGGTAGGTTTGAACTGAATGTTGATGGGAGAACACACACCTGGAGCTGATCTCATCATCGGAGAATAAAGTACAATTTGAGATGTTGGTGGTGTAAATGCTGAGGGTGAGGAGCTTTTAGTCTGAATATAAACCCTGTTAACAGCTAAGCCGTACTAAGCTGTACTGACACTATTTTCCCTGTCTTCCGCCCAGTCCTGTTAGTTATACTCATGGAGTCTGTCCCCCAGTCATTTCAGTACAGCACCTTTTGATTATATTGAATTCCACATTTAAACTAGAATATTATGTTTTGCAGCTCATCTGGTGCTATAGGAGTCGTTCTTTTCAGCCCGGCTAGGGCATACGAGGCACTGGGATGGCGTTGTTGGTTGGTTTGTCCACCGCTTTGCTCCAAACTGATAATGGATTACAATGAATTTTGGCTTATTCATGCCTCCATTAGAATGTATTGTGCTCAACTGGTTTAGAATTGTACCCATATAACACTGTTGAACCAGTGATGTCGTCTTTTTTAATTTTATTCCATGCATTCTTCTCTAATAATAATTGTGTGTATATATAAGTATGCATATCTTCAGCCCCAACCAACCCTGACTCAACTGACATCACTTGAGGACACTTTTCTTTTTTTACATATGCAATAGTAATCCAGTAATACTTTTGTGGTATATTTTATTCTTTGGTTTCTGACCAAATACCAGTAAAACATAATGACAGGCCCATCAACCTCTGTTAAAACTTGGAGTTTGTGTACTACTATTACCATTAGCCCGTGTGTCGAGAGTCGAGGGTAGCAGTCGGGGACGAAAGATACCAGATGACAACGTTCTTGCCATGAATTCCAAAAGGTTGATGTTGCAGGTTGAGGTTATCCACATCCCCCTTTTTACACATGTGAATATAGTTTACTTAATTTTATTCTACAGAGGATGTGGCACTTAAGCTGCATTTCATGTTTCCATATATGCAACAGTATGGTAATTTGTGTGTGTGTGGAATGATTGCAAATTTACACATTGACATTTTGGACACACCTAAGATGGATTTATACGCTCAGTGACAGATATTGCCATCCTTTGCGCACTGCCTTCCGGCTGTCTTGGAATTAAGAAAGCAGACTTAAATGTCACAATTTCAGAGAAGGTGATTTTATGCAAGTCCCACAGTTGCAACTGTTTCATGTCTTGTTTTTACCCTAATGGAGGCTTGACGTGTGATCGAGTGAAACCATCACGGTGAATTCATATTTTTTAATTGTATTCAGTCAGTCATTATTCCAAAAACATGACACACAAATATGCTCAAGTTTCTTAGATCTACATTCACAATTGTTTCGAAATAATTCAACACAGTCAACAGTAGTTACAAAAAGGAGCTACACATTACACAGCAAACACTATTTAGTCAGTGAAGCTCATTGAAAGGGGAAGTTTGAAAAGGGAAATGCTAGACTGCAGATGGATTTATGAGAAAAAAATACATTTCCTGAGTAAAGAAAAATGAGAACAGTTCTCACAGAGAGGTGTGTAGTGACATAACATGATTATCAACACAGTAATCCTATTTTAAGCTGAGTTATATTTAATAATATGCTGTTGTTCTGTACAGTGACTTCCGGCAGTAAACTGGTGATACGATGAAAATCGGCGACACACTGATTTCTAAAAAGCTTTTGTTTTCATAGTTCAGAGTGTTTACAAAGTTGCAAATGATTTAAATAAAGCTTGATTTTATCCTCTACATATATCTATATAACAAATCCAATTAAAAGGCCAAAAAACAAAATGTTTAACACGCACTAACTGTAAAGTCAGAGCTTGAGGTAGCTTTTTGTGACTTAGAACTAACATTGTTACTGACGAAACAATCCCAAAGGTCGAGTAACTCGTTCATTCTGGCGCCTTCGACTGCATCACATGGCTCTCGTTGGGAGGCAGCATTTGTCCAGTGCCATGGAACTGTAGAGGTTCAAACCTTCTGTCATTGTGAGCACCTATACGACTTCTCGTCCACTTAGAAGTTTCACGGTAACTGAGCAAACCCAATATACTAATGAGGACTGTGAGATGCGGTCGAAAGCTCCAGAACACGAGCTAGCCGACTGTTTTGTTCACCACTGTTTCCAAAGTCACCCGTGGACTGTTTAGCTCAACTCCATGTTCAAAAACGTTCAAATAAAAAGTTAGACATTTTGGGAAATCGACTTACTTGCTTTCTCTTTGAGAAATAAAGGACAGGCTTGATACCACCCTTGTAGTTAGCTTGCCTTAGCTTAGCACAAAGACTGGCAACAGCTAGGAGAAGTCTCCTTCTGAAATCTGGCATCGCATCCATATTTTCAAAATGATCCGTAGCGTCCTTTCATAATGTTATCAGACACTTATAATAACAATCTGAACCTGTCAGTGGCAAAAACAAGCGCTTATAGAGGACGTGAATTGACGGTGAGGAGTTGCCCCAAACGGATTAGCGGATGCAATCTGCAGCGTTCTCGCTCAATAATGGACCAATGTCATAAAATTGAGAATAAAGTTATCCTATAACATAATTGTATTATCTCATTTGTTTTCTTCACACAAAAACTGAAGCATAAAAACACTTTTTGGCAGATATCTGTCACCTGTCTGACAGAACTACGTTAGCTGTTTCCCCCTGCTTACAGTCTTTATGCTAGGCTAAGCTAGCTGGCTATAGCGTCATATTTAACCTACTCAAAAATGAAAGTGGTGTCAATCTTCTTATCAAATCCTCAATAAGAAACCAAATGAGCATATTTCCCAAAATATCAAACTGTACAAAAAAGAGCCATAAAAGCATTTTGTTGACATGAACTAGTCTAATGGCTATACGTGACAATTAAAATAAATAAAACATTTGGTTTTGGTCCAAATTAGTTTGTAATACAAAGATGAAAAGAATAGTGACAATCGTATCTTATCCTTAAAATATAATAGCTGGTCACATTCCTTGTACTGTACAACATTTACAGTGCTGCTACAAATGATAGGAGAAAGCAACGTACATTCATTAGACAGGGTAAACACGAACAATATGCGTTATTCTTGTAAACATTTTCAGAGGCAGACTTATGAAACATGATCTACCATCTGTCACTTAATCAACATTTTCTGGAAGATGCTGATGTAGTGTAAAAAAAAGAAAGATCTATCACAGATTAAACCTGAAGCATTAAAGTAAACACCTCTTGTTGTTGTCATATTCTGTACAACCTTTGGTTTGTATTGTGTGAAAATAAAGGTTGATTTTATAGCCACCTATAAGCACAGAGTTAAGTCTAATCTATAGCTTGGTTGGCTTAACGTTCACAGCATTTTAACATATTGTGCAAACATGCCCTTCCATTCATTCATTGTGGCCGCACACATAAGAGGCCAGGGCTAACCTGCTTGTAATGTTATAATAGCACACACCTGTTGTACTGGACAAAAGACAAAAACCTACAACATTTGTGAGACAACACTTCATGAGGCTAAAAAGTCTTTCTTGTCTCTCAGTCCAAATTCTTTCACTCCGTGATCTCTTTGAAAGTAGACAGTACTTCCACATTGGACTTACCGGTAGTGCAAACCATATAAATGCCGGTGTCATTGATGCTGTTGGAGACATGGCACAGGTTCGAGACGAAGTGCAGCCACAGCTGCTTTACCTCCTTTCTGAATCTTTGGCTGAAGATGTAGTAGATCAAAGGGTTGTATACGGTGGAGCTCTTTGCAAACAAGCACGGCAGGAGACTGACTTCAGGTGGGATGCTGCTACTGTCTTGTAAAATAGACCACATGCTTACTATAGCATAGGGCGACCAGCAGACTATGAAACCTAAGCTTATAACCACAGCGATCTGCAATAGAACAAGAGGATAGAGTCAGCTAAAGTCCAACATGACGTAGAAAAAGTCAAATTTGAAAGCCACTTTTTGTCCATTTGTTTGTTTAGTTTGGACGGGGCTGCACATTAGCTTCAGCTAGACACCTTTACCTTCCATCTGTTGAGGTTTTATATGAACAAAATGTTGACCTGTATTTTCTCCGTTAATTATACAATCCAAACAATAGATTCCACCGGTTATTAAACAATTGACAGATGTCTGTTGGCCAAGAGTGGCTTTAAAACCACTTTACTAGTGATTCACAACCAGGGGTAGGCTACTTGTACTCCAAGCGGTTATTAAGAATATATATGTATGTACAGTATATACACAATCTTCAAATACATTACTTGAGGGTTGGAGGATTCATTTGGAGAATTTAGTTTTGTTCCAGCCAACTTTGTCCTGCTCATTTTCTGTAACCAGTGTAGCATGACAGCATGGTGGAACTCGACAAGTTAGCCAGTTAACAAGCAAGCCACAGCTGCAACATTGAGAGTCGCCCCCCTCACGTTACGCCCCCCTCTCTTCAAGTCCGCAGACGGACACCACTCCAACATACACAGAGAGTCCCCAGACCTATAATGATAGCGCTGTCTCATCAGAAAGAGTGACTCACCACTAACAGCCTTCGATGGCGCTTGACAATGTTGGGGATTTGGTTGCTGTTGTTGCTTGACTTTCTGTAGGTGAAATAAAGCTTGAAGGCGATGCCAAAGTAACAGCAAACGATGATGACACAAGGTAGGATGAGGTTAAAGGAGAACATAGAGATGACGAAAGAGAAGCCCTCGTGTTTCATTTGTCCCCAGGCAAGAGAGCAGGACAGGCCGAAGGGCTCCGGGCCGTACCGTCCCCAACCCATGAAGGGGAACACAGCCCAGACCAGAGCGTACAGCCAAGTCAACAAGCACAGCATCTTCACCTTCTTCCAGCCGACTTTCTCATCTGCAGAGAAGAAAAGGAAAGGTTGGTCGTTTTGTTGCTTCTTTTGTTGTCTAACCGTGTATGTTATAGACAGGCAGCCCTTTTATTAAGGCACCTATGTGGAGCAGCTTACATGTTATGCAAAATAGAGGCTATATTCCTGAGTTTCTCAAAATGAGACGTAGACTGCAAAAAGGCAACAGTATCTGGTTAAATATACATAAACAAAGATTAGTGGATGTACTGTATATGTGCACAAACATACACAAGAACATAATCTGCATATATGTAAATTCAAAAACAGACAAAGACAATCACATCACTATAAAACAACAAATTAAGAAGCACCAACAGCAGATTAAAATAAGACATAAATAACGACGTCTCATTAAGATCCTTTGTATTTAGTATAAAATTATCCCGGGACTGGCTATGTAGAGAAAACAAAATATATATTGAGGGCACGCTTTACTCATTTGTGTGCACTAGATGTAATTCATGCAATTAAATAAAAACATGTCCCATGTTTTGGTTGATGTGTGCATGTTAGATAAGTGCACACAGAGCCATCACAGCGCACCGCTCTCCAGTCTCTTACTGGAGTGATGTTTCGCGCTGTCAAGCTGAAAATAGCGCACGGCATACACAGAGTAACCGGGGTAACAGCTGTGCACGTCAACCTTTTTTTAAACCAGGCTGGCCAAAATGTTGTCGCCAAAATCAAAGTTTTGGTACCAAGTCCTAGACAACACTAAGCTTCCTCTGAGGGAAACACTCTACAGGATCTCTAATCCGTGAGTGTGTCATGACGGGGAGAGCTCTGGGGGTCATGAGTATGGCCTTGGTAGTTTTTACTATAATAGCTTGCAGGCGGGGTTCTTTTCAACATGTAAAAAAATGACACATTTGATGTGCACGTAAGCACGGGAGGTTCTTCTTGGTACGCCTGGAGTCAAGAACCTTAACCTTCCCCTGCTGTCAATTCCTTCATCTCCTGCCAGTACTGTCAAACCAGTCTGTTTATCAGGCTCATTGTTGGTATTGTCAGTTTGAAAAGGGTTAGCTGTCAACGCGGGGTGTTCTGATATGTTTCTAAGTGTCAAGGCACGACATTATTGAGAGAGCCGGGATGGTAACACGTAGCTGAATTGTTGATCATTTAACAAAAAGTGATCACCTGGGGCATTTGAATATTTTGACATGTTGGGAAATACGCTTATTTGCTTTCTTGCCGAGAATTGGATGGGAAGATCTCAACCACTCTCATATCTGTCCAGTAAAACATGGCCACAGCCAGCAGCTGGTTAGCTTAGCTTAGCATAAAGATTGGAAACTGGAGTAGCAGAGTCTGGCTCTGTCCAAGGGTGACAAGAGGGCTACGTTGTGCCTGTTTTCTCGGACGGAAGCTGTAACTAACCTATTGACAGCTAACTCTTTACCTATGTTTCCAGTCTTTATGCTAAGCTAAGCTAACTGGCTGCTGGTCATAGCCATTTATTTACTGGAAAAACATGAGAATAGAATCAATCTCCTCATCTGCGTCACTCTTGTAAATACAGTAAAGCTAAAAAAAGCTTATTTCTCAAAATGCAAAACTACTGCTTTTAAACAGAACCATAAAAGACCGAAATATTTCACGACTATGTCGAAAATCAGTCACAGATGGTTACCACAGGTCCAAATAAAATGTACACATACTTCTTCTACTTCTACTTTGATACAATTTCAAATACTAATGCTTGAAATAATAAGTAGAAGTAAACAAATGCCGTTTTGAATACAAAGCAGATACGTTATTGTTCCTTTTCGAAGAACCTTGGAGACTGACTGAAAAGTCTTGTGAAATATTCTTAGCTCTTATGAGGGTTTCATCGCTACTGCTAATCCCTCGCCACAGTCACATTCACCCCTTGAATAATGATGGCATCGTCTCTTGGAGCATGGAAAACAGGGTTGACGCGAGTTAGAAGGTGCTGCGCAACATTTGCATCGTGATGTCCTCCAAGTGACAACTTTTAAATCATCAGGTGTTCTTATCAGTGATTTTTTAGCCTTGAATTACTCACTGGGTGAATGCAGATTGAGGGACACAATGAAGCGCACTATGGCCAAGCCGGTCAGGCTCATGATACTGGCGATGCCGAAGAAGAAACCTGCCATGGCGTAATAAATGCAGATAGCATCTCCCCCGAGCCAGCGGTGTCTCCAGGCTGAGGCCACAGCCAGGGGGTACATGGTGACAGCTGCTCCCAGGTCTGTCACCGCCAGATTCAAGCTCAGCAGCTCCGGCGGTTTCATCCTTGAGGACCTTTTGACTGCCATGATGAGGACCAGCAGGTTTCCTATGATGGAGAAGACAGCTGAGACGGACAGGAGGGGGGAGGGACAGAGAGGGGAGGGAATGAAAGGACATAGTTTGAATGAACAATGTTGATCAATTCAATGCACAAAGACGCCTGATTTAGGTGTAGCTGTTTTCTTTGCCGTTAGTGTTATCAGAATATCTTTGTTCTGTGTTGGGTAATGCTGTCCCTATAGGCAAACCTCAAGATATAATTTACCAAACACAAACTAACACACAGCCTTAATTGCAGTTAGAACAGTTTTCTAATAGGTTTCGAGGGGTTTCTTGCACTGTTTTTCCCCTCATAGAATGGGACAGGAAGCCTCGCAGTAAGCGCCTGACCTCTTCCAGCTGTACCCAACTACAGGAAGGCTACTGCTGCATTGAGATGGCGGGGAGGGTTGCATTCGACACCTCATGCCACAGCACCTTTGAGAAAATGTGTCAATTTATACAGTGAGACAGGAAATGCAGTCAATCCCATTTCCAGAGCATGAACGCCTCAACTGGCTCAGGAGAAGACGACGGCTCAGAGGGATGAATTCTCCTGTTAGCTTTTTAAAATTTCATAGGAGCTTTCACCTCGGCCCACATGGCCATTAGTAATGCATGGAGCAAAACCTTGGGGACTAACACCTGCTCTGTACATCTGCTACTGCATTAGTCTAAAAGGCTGCAAGTTTTACGAGCTGAAATACATTTTTTTCAGTTTTAGACTTAACCTTGGACGTTCCCAACTGTGGTTTGGTCTACCCCATGAGTTCCTGGAGCCTAATGCATTCTGACACCTCACAAACTCATATGCCAATTTTCAGAGTTCTCAATTGCTGACAGTTTTCCTGCACCAATTCATGTGCTTTCAGGTGGCAACTACCGCTATCAGCAACTCTGAGAAGGTAGCAAACAAACTGAAGTAACATTCAGCGCATTCAGACAAATTAATGTTTCAGCTTCTATGTAAAATACATCAGTAAATACCCCACAAATTCGACCACAGTGTAGTTTGTTTGCTTCTGCCGTTTGCGTTTAGGCTCCAAAAATCCTATAAATCGGGTTAATTTGGGGAAATTTTCTTGTTGAACAAATGTGTAAGTATCATAAAAGTTTGTTTGCCACAGAGGTTATGATAATATTAACCTAAACATCCCGTGGGCTTTCTGTGAAGGGAACCAGTGCGACGCGAACCTTCCTGTTAGCCTAAAAAATACATCAGCCCAGAAGCACTCTGTGTGCTCACTCTCTGTCGCCTATAGCTGAACCAGTTCAGTTCAGCTTCTGGTTTTGACAGGTGATGAATAATTTCTCAGCATCTTGAACTCCACAGTGGCGTCACGTTCCAAACTCTCGCACTCTTGCTGACGGTAACTTGTCTTGTCAACGCAAAAGGTCCACCACCTCTGCCGGTAGAGATTCACTCAAAGAGCTTGTAAGCTAACAGCCTTTCAAATTGCAACAGGCTTTTCATATCATTATCACCACATTTGCGTCACTTATTTGGGAGGTTTATGATTAAATGTGCTAAAATTTAGATAAAACTGAAGTTGAAACACATTTTTCTATATCCTCTAACACCAAGACAGACCCATTCGGTCTGTAACCTCTTTTGCTCTCGATATCTATCTTCCCCAAACTGACTCTGAACCGGACAGCATCAGCTGTAGGACTACTTAAGCACAATGAATAGTGACCCATCAACTTACAGCTCGCCGATAATCACTTTCATGAAAGTGCAGTCGAGAATCAATAGTAACCGTCACTGCTTATGTTTATAAGGAAAGTGGGTTTTAGACAGTTCACTGAGGAGTACAGGGATGCAGACCTTAAAAAAAACATGTTCTATAAAAAGAAGGTTATGAAATTCTGAATCGGTGACTCTCTCCTAAAAATGAATGTTGCCTTCGGAAGAACCAGCCCTTATTAAGTCTAGGAAATCTAATTTCTTACCTTTGGTTTTAGCAGAAAAATGGGACGCCACACACACACACACACACACACACACACACACACACACACACACAC